ACTTTAAATTTTAAATTCTTATTTGATATAAAACTTGTAAATTTGTATATAATAGATTTATGAATATTTTAGAAAATGTAAAATAAATCAAATCACATTTAAAAAAATTATTAGACAGAAAATAAAAGGTTTAAGTATTTATTAAACTAAATATTTAAAAAAAAAAAAAAGAAATTTACTGATAAAGTTGTAAGAAGAATAAAAAAGTTGGGATTAAATGTGTAATAGAAATAAAAAGCGGGACCCATAGTGTTGGCAGAAGGTAATTAAGCAAATAATGGGGGTTGTGACAGTGGGGTCCACAAAACAGAGTGGCAGTAGCTAGCTGCACCGTAGTCGTACCCGCGCATAATCATTTCCCAGAATTAAAACCACCCGCAGGCCCAGGCCCATTACTCAAATACCGACAAATTGTCATGGGCCCCACCCCCTTAAAACCAATGGTCATGATTATACTCATACCCTCAATGTGTTTGACCAAAAAAAAATAAAAAAAGTCTACCCGGTTTGTCCGGTTCGATCCCGATGGAAATAAACCCTTTTTTGGCTACTCAGGCCGGTTCCCTTTTTATGGGAATTTGATATTTTTATAGCCTTTTTAGTGTTAAATTCAAAATCCTTTAATATATATATATATATATATTTTAAAAAAAATATAGGAGGTCGGATCGGGTACGGTAAATTCCAGGTGGTGCCTGTCCTGTGGTGGGCCCGTTATCTGACATTGTCATCACTCTCCCAGCACGGACTTTTTCTTTTTCCCCCCTTTTTAATAAATATTTTGCATTGTTTCGAAAATCATAATTCCTTTTACATGCAACCAAATTATTATTATTATTATTATTATTATTATTATTATTATTATTATTATTATTATTATTTAGGATAAAATAAAAATAAAAAGATATTCAGAGACTGCATGTACCTCATTCCTATTTTCTGCAATTTAACTCATAATCAACAATATCTCTCCTTTTATTTAATTTAATTTAATTTAAAAACAAGACTACATTTATGCCCCTGGGTATTGTGAATATTTACAGAAGGGTATTTTGGGAAACATGGGAAACTGGGCCATGGATCGATCCTTGGTCTACGGCGAAGACCACTTTGATAGTCGGGAAGACGAAAATGAAAGTCAGGAAATTTTCCAATTTCCAATGTCACCCCTCACCCCTCCTCTCCTTAACTCCCAAATTAAACTCTTTTTTATTATTAAAACAAAATAAATAAAAATGGGAAAGAAATAGAATCCCACGTTGAGGCTATAAATACGATGGGCATTACAGCATTATTGTTCCACCACACACACACACACACAGCATGTAGCATTTAGTTGGGTTTGGTGGCGTTTCTTCTACTGCCTTCAACGCACGGAAGAGTCCGTTAAGCTCAGGAGGGATAGCGCCGCTGTTGCATCACCCCCCCCCCACCCCCCTTCCCACGCCCTCCTATTCTCTTCCGGCGCTATCCATCCTGAGTTTCATGGCTTCTTCTTGCTCCATTTCTGTGTTTATTAAGCTGCTCGCCCATGGACCTCCACAATACCCTATTTCGTCTGCATGCTCTCTCTTTATCATTTTCGTATTATTTTCTTCCCTCTACTAACCCAATGAAATGGTAAGGAATTTGTGACCTTCTTTTACTTCTAATATTACACCTATACTTCAATCTTACAGATTTTAATGCTTCAATCACGTGTCTTCTTCGTAATTTGCTTTGAAAAATCATTATTTTACGTTTTTTAAACCTTAATGTTAGAAATTGGTATTTATGTGATTTGAGAATTTACTAATTTGACTATTTGATCTATTTTTATTTTTTTCTGTTTAGGTTGTTTCCGTTCACCCCTCGACAATACTCAAACAACCCACCAACTCAAAAATAAGGTTACAATTGGTCGTAAAAAATATTAGTAATGTGATTTTTGAATGTTTGATATTAAAGTTGTATGAAATTTTAGGTAGGTAGATATATAAGATTTCTTTTTAAATAATTAAAAAAAAAGTTACAAAAGAATAGAAAATTGAGTTGGATTAGGTCTATTTGAATTGGTTCAGTTGGATTAGGTCTATTTGAATCGGTTGGATCACTAACTCAACCAATTCAAATTTTTTGATCAGTCCAAAAAACTTGTAGAATCCAACTCAACCTAACCCAACCCGAGTTTACCGTATATAGATATTCTATTTTTTTTTTTGAGAAAAGGTCAAAACTTACTTTCATATCCATAAATTTTCAGTGATTTTTAATTTTATTAAAGGTGTGGAGCAATGTTTATCTTAATGACAATATTTACCATTCCTTAGTTTTGGTTTGTAATTTATTCATCTTCTAATTTGATTGGACTTATTGTGTGCAAAATTTAATTTTTGTTTTAAATTAGCATTTTTTAAAATAAGTTTTTATCTTTTAATTCAAAAAAGTAAATTTCTTTTTTTAAAAAGTTTTTTTAAAAAATTCTTACAAACTAGTTGAAAACGAATGCGAGTTTATTTAAAATTAAATAAAACGAAAAGCATATATTTGAATATTTATTATATTAGAATATAATATTGTGTTAAATAATATTTAAATGTAATAAGATATCTGAAAGTTAACTAATTTTTTATTTTATTTTATTTTTAAATATATTTTTTTTTTGTTTAATGTATCTAACATATATTAATTATTTTAATATTTAATGTTACCAATATATATATATATTTTTCACCTAATTGATCTGAACCATGCAAAATCATATGATTTAGAAGAATATATTTTAAATAAATCATATGAAAGAATTCGGGAGAGAAATTGCATGAAGTTAATTTTGTTAGATTGCTCGGATTGAAATACTACAACGGTTGTTGATTTATGCCTTAAAACTTTATAATTAATTATTTAATATTTAATAATAATTTTGATTATTTTATATCCAATTTAATATTATTTATTGTTTGAAAATTTCAAAATTATTAGTGTAATCTTGAATAATATTATTATGGCTCGATTTTTAAAGGTTCCAGAAGAACGAATTGTGACTAAAAAAAAAATTGACATTTAAAACAAAACATAATTACATTTTATTTACCAATCAAAATAAAGTTTATGAGTTCGAATACATTGTGTCCAATAAGCAAAATAACTTGAAAGATTAAAAAAAACTAAATACGTGGTGTAGCTGTGTATAACACTTGTTCTTTGAGACACTCCACTTAAAATTAATGGTACAAGACATGAACCTGGTCACCTATGTTCTATGTTTCATGCGTTTCAAGCAAAACAGTATGATAACCTAAAAGGCTTCATATATTTTAAGTGACGTAGTCTGAACCTGCACTTAGAACTTAATGCGTTGCAGTTTGAAAACATACACCCAAGCTTACGTTTCAAGCGATGTAGTTTGAAACTTGTGTTCAATGCTCCTTAAGTTCCAAGCGACACAATTTGAAAACAATGCCCGAGGCTTCATACGTTTCAAAAAGCATAGTACCTAAAATGCATGAGAGAACTTAAGTGAGTACAAAAATTAAGTAGCCTACTTGTAGGCTCTTAATCATGTCCTTAAGGTATGCTAAGCTACCATACTCGTTCTTGTTATATTCTTGTTCTTGTCCTGAGAACTTAGGCCCTTACGTTCTGAGAGTGAGTTCTAATTTCTTGTCGTGATCTCGCCCAAAGACCTTGGTCTTGGTCTTTGAGTTCTTTCACTTTAGTTCTAATCTATGGACCTTAGCTCTGAGGTTCTGAATTTTTAGTTCTTAGAACTCGAATCTTAATCCTTTTTCTATTTCTTATCCTTAATTTTTTTATTTTTGATCTGAGTTCTTGTTCTTAATTCTTGTCTTTGGTTCTTATTCTTGTGCTTGTTTTTTATTTTGTTCATTAAGACACTCCCCCTAAGATTTATGGTATAAGATATGAACTTGACTACCTGTATCCAAAGTTTCATATGTTCCAAGTGATACAATCTGAACCTACGTATAAGACTTCATGTGTTCCAAGCGACGCAGTATGAACCTATGTCCAAGACATCATACATTTCAAGCGACATAATCTAAACCTACATCCAGAACTTCTTCAAGTGTTCATTGCGACGTAGTCTGAAACCTATACTTAGAGTTTTTACATTTCAAGCGATGTATTTGAAACCTACATCCAAAGCTTCATATATTTCAAGCGATCTGAATACCTATGTCCTAGACTTTATACGTTCTAAGTAGCATAGTCTAAAACTTGCATCTAAAGATTCTTCCAAAATCTTATATTCAAAGTTTTCTGTCCCAAAAATGAAGGAAATTAGCTCAAATAAGAATAAGTACTTCTAATAAACAGTAAGGGGATGTAGCTCAGATGGTAGAGCGCTCGCTTAGCATGCGAGAGGTACGGGGATCGATACCCCGCATTTCCATATAATTTAATTTTCATTCTATTTTGTCGGCATTCTTGGGCCGAGGTCTTCACATGGACTCTCTTATTTATGGGCTCAGCCCATTACCATTAGCCATTTTAGCGGACATCATCTCTGTGAATGAATTAGGATTAATGTTCACCTTAGTCCTAATCATATTGTTAGTCCTTTGATTTTGTATAGGAATTGGTAGAATAAAACTATTATACTTAGGGTTCTCGATGCTACGGATGACGTATTGTTTAAATCACCTGTGCATTATGATAGACTACTATGAGATTGATAGTCTAAATGCTTCAAATACTCGAGACTTCTGGAGCTCTCGAACACTCTCCCCTTAATCAAAACTCGACTCTTTTCTCTAGAGTCAAAAGCACACTCTTTGTACAATATTGAAGTCACTTTAAAGTTGATTGGGTCATAGAAGATTGAACGTACCCGCATATGTAGTGTGAGGCCCAATAAGCTTGGATTCCGCACAAATTATGTTTAATCCAATGAAGCCATAAAGGCAGATGAAAAATGAATATGTGGCTCGAGTTCTACTTTAAGACATGTCATTAATATATCTCTGAATCATGACACCCGATGTTGAACAAACGGAAGATAATTAACTTCTCAAATTTTACACTTTTTTTTAGATGGAACGTGAACATTTTACAATCTTGTTTTAGCACATTTAAATCTATTGACCTTTTCTCACAACTCACCCAGTTCTTATGGTGGGTTTGCACAAAAATTGATGGAAGAAAGCTAATTCAAATTTTGGTTAGAAGGCTTGGTTGGGTGGAAAATATAAGCATAAAGAAGCTCATTCCACACATCAGGCACACCAGGGAGACACCAATGAATGCAATCGGCATACGAGGTTGGATTTGAAATTTGATGGGGCTTCAATGGCTCCCATTGCTTTCTGTATATGGATGGGTGAGCTTCTTTTCTATACTCTGTGAGCTGCGTAATGTTGATCATCTCCACATTCAATCCTCTTGTTTTGAGCTCAGCTAACACTGTTTCCACTATCTTCATCATCTTTGGATCTGTCCCATTTCCTCGATATCCAACTTCTGCTATCTGCTCTGTTTCGCCGTAACAGTTTTGGGCTTTGCTTCGCCCCCATTCCTCGCCTCTGCGCTTTGTGCAACGCCTTGTTTAGTTTCAGATTCAAAGAAAACACAGCATGAATGGGCGACATTGTGCTCATACCTGTCGTGAATGGGCGACATGCTCATGAAGAACACTTGGGTGTTGTTTGGATTTATGTTTACTTCCAACCAATCTGCCCATGTTCTTAATGCCATTTCATACCCGCGTCTCATCTTCACTACTTTCAACTTGCTTGTTTCTGAATCTTCAAACGATCCGAACCTAAACCCAAAATATATATAAATTTTCATCATATGGGATTCGGTCCGAAAGAATATATATAAATTTTCACCTAATTAAGGGGTTGATAATTGATTTATAAATAAGGAATACAACGATTAGGGAGAAAAAGGAAACATTCTTTATAAAATTGTGGAAACTTTTCTCTAATAGATGACACAAGACCGTGTGCCAACAAGGACGCTGGCTCTCAAAGGGAGTGGATTGTGAGAACCCACATGGAGAAGAAGCATCTCTCGAATGAGATGGATTGTGAGGTATCTCGTGTGAAGGAAAATAAAACATTTTTTCATAAAAGTGTGGAAATCTCCCCATAATTCTTTATGTGGGTAATGAAAAACTCTTTTTAGTAGGCTCGTTTTAAAAACCTTAAGCGGAAATCCTAAAAACCTCTCTCATACTATTTAGTAGACGCATTTTAAAAACCTTGAGGGGAAGCCCGTAAAACCTCTCCCTAATTTTTTTATAAAACGAAGTGGAAACCTCTACAGAAGGAAAGCTTAAAAGGACAATATCGGTTAGGTTAGGGCTTGAGGGCGTTACAAATATATCTTCGTTGGCAGGAGGGTTGTTGAACAAAGGTTGATAATTCCAAACAATATTGAGGTAATGGGTCACTTACAGGGCTTTAATCTTGGGTATTCTCCACCAAAGATAAGTGTTGAAAACGAGTATGTGGGCGTCGGCCCAATGCCTTGCGTGCTTCTCTATGGCTTTCACCCTGACTATCCGATCTGGCAATCGGTGGTTGACTGGATCGTCCGAATTTGACTCCACCATCAATGGGGACCAGTAGAACTCTATGCTCGCATTGTATTCCTTAATATAAATCCAATATTCATTCAATAACAGCTACTAAATCAAATCAAATAAACATTCATAAAGTATCTACTCACAGTGGCCTTGAACATCATCAACGACCCATTACTCTGCATGGACTGCAGCGGCGGCGGAATAACAGAGCCCACAAGACACACCATCGAAACCCACTGCCCACGATTCAACGAGTCTCCCACGAACACCATCCTCTTATTCCTCAGCCTCTCCAGCAGCGCCGTCGCATTAAACTTCGGCAGCTCACATTCATCCGGCTGCCACCGCCAATTCCGGTACCCCAAATCCTCCCTCCCGAATTTCTCACACGCCAACTGATCCGACATGAAAACACACTCCCTCTCCTTGTAAAGAGGATACGACTCATTGTCAAAAACCCACTTCCCAGTGAACAAGTCACAGCCACCGCCGCCGCCGGTGCTGTAATTTTCGAGAACTTGGGCGGCTCTGTTTTGGGTAAAATAAACGGCGGAGACAAGGAGGAGGGCAATTAAAAGGGCGAGGGCAGCTCGGAAAGTGGTTCGAATTGGGATTCCCCAAGTGGCGTTGGGGATTAATTGGGGTTTCTTTGCCATTTTGAAGAACAGAGCAGAGAGGTGTGTATTGAAATTTGAGAGTTTTATTGATTATTAATGGTATGATGTTGAGTGTTGGGGTTGGTGGGAAGTGGGTATCAACGAATTTGGCTTCCAGATAGGAAGCTTGGAGTAGAATTATTGTTGGATGGAAATGGAAATGGATAGTGTTTCAATTCATGGTTGGGTGTGCTCAAGTTTTAGTATAATCCCTAGTTTATAACTAATTTACCTTTCGGTATGAAAACCAAAATTGATTATATAATGGGATTCTTTAACGTAAAGAAACTTCAAAAACATTTCTCAAACAAACACAATCAAAAGATGTTCATATTTGGCAGCCTGTACCATCTCCCATCTTCTCCTCATTCCCTATTCCATAATCATTCCCATTGGTTCACAACAGACTCTCCACAATAGTATGATATTGTTCACTTTGAGTATGAGCTCTCAGTGCTTTGTTTTGGGCTTCCCAAAATGTCCACTTTGCTTCATAATAATGAAGAATGTATTCTTAGATTATAAACTTATGATCATTTCCTAAATTAACGGATGTGAGACTTTTATCATCCAATAAATGTAACATGTATTATGGATAAAAGAATAAACGGGCAACCCATCCCAAAATAGATAGTTAAATAATAATAATAATAATAAAAAAAAAAGCAGCACCCCTCAAGTTGCACACCAACTTGCAGAACCCAGTCTTATTCAGCAATTCTTTCTTTAAAGAGAGAGAATAAAATTATTATTTTTAATTTATTTATATGCAACTTGCATACTCCAATTTTCCTTTTTAAATTAAAAATAAATAAATAAAAAGGAAATTGCAGAGGTGGCAGAAGAGACAGTTTGAAATGGTGGGTTTGTTCTTACCTAATTTCCCCTCATCCATTCCATTCAAAACCCCAAATTAATAATAATAATAATAATAATAATAATAATAATAATAATAGTATTTTTAAAGTACGATATAATATCATATAGATTCATTATTGCTAGCGAAATTAAATCTAAAAAAATTATTTTTAATAAGAATAATATTTTCAGATTTTAAATTCGAGAAAAGAAAAATGGTTCTTAATACATTCAATTAACATGATACAATATATATAGATATATAAAAAAACATTATTTTTAAAATCAGCGTCAAACAAAACGACCTCTCACCGATTCTATCCAGCTAACCAAAAAGAAAAAAGAAACGATTACAAGACAGCTCACGGCGGCGCCGCTCGGTTCCGGCCGGTTAAGTTCTCGGCGATCTGAGTCAGCGATTGGAGGTTGCATCGGACGATGGTGTCGATGAACACGCACGTATCCTCCTCCGTATTTCCCGGCGGAATATCGACGACGTACGATTCCACTACGACGGTGTCGTCTCCTTCCGGGTGGAGCGTCGTGACAGACCGGTAGTTAGCGAGCCGATGTTCGCCGCCGATGACGCTGAAGCTCATAATATGGCGTTCGTCGTCGAGAATCTCCAGTCGTTCGGTGCTGTTTGCTGCTGGAAGACCGGAAATGACGTGGACTTCACGGAGGCTACCGACGTTGCCGTCTCCAACGATGACGTGGCAACTCTTGACAAAGTGCTTGTACGCTTGTGGGTTGTCGAAACGGCGGACGACGGACCAGACAGTGGAGACAGGGGCAGCGATGTCTTGGACGACGGCGGAGCAGCACTGGTTGGAGGAGATCGCGTGGTTGTGATAACGCGCCACCGCTTCGGGGACTGTGGTAGCGCGTGAGGGAATCTTGCGCTTGAAAACCCCCGGGGGTGCGGTGGCGGAGGCAGCAGGCGTTACCCGGTGAGAGGCGGCGGAAGATTTAGGGGGATTGGGAGGCATTATCCGGCGGAGGGGTAGTAGGGGGATTTTTTTGTTCCGGTGGCGAATTTATATAGAGATGAAATCGGGGGCTGCCGTAACGGTCAGACTTTGGTTTTTTTCTTTGACAATTTGGATTTTTCTTTTCTGCGAAGTTCATGAGAGGGGCAAGAGGAGCAACTTGGATGAAGAAAATGACGTAAATACCCTTCTTTTATTTTGTTTGTTTGAATTTCCCAACTTTAATTTGACTTCAACGGTGGATAAAGTTTAAATATATATATGTATGCACAATGCGGAAATAATTAAATAACGTTTCTATAATATTATTATTTCTATATCAAGGGTGACTTAAAATTAGGAAGAGAAGAATAATCCTTTTTGGAAAAGAAAAAGAAAAAGAAAAAGAAAAAAGGACAAAAAAGTAATTTAGCAAATAAAAAATGAAAGAAATAAAAGGTGCGCAAGAGGCATGACAACTGGTAATCAGAGTGCCAATTAGGCAATCAAGTTGCTGAATAAAGCGTAATCCCAAGGATAAGATCAACAAATTTTCTAATTATTTTTTTAATTATTTTTCTAATTATTTTTCTAATTATTATTAAACCCCTTAAAATGTCATAATTACTATATTATGACAATCCTACCTATGCTAAATAATAAATTAAATATTTTCTTCTCTTTAAAAAAATATAATTTTCAAATTTTTATTATTACTCTCAAACATTTTATAAAAAAATTAAAAAATACTTTTTTAAAATTTTAGAAAGAGTTTAAGGATATATATATTTTTTTAAAGTTGAAGGTTAATAAAACCTTCAAAGCTTAATGGTATTTTTTAAACATTTTTTTAAAGTTCGTAATATTTTCCGAAACAAAAGTATTAACGATTTTCATCTGAAACTAAAGATAAAAGTAAAAAGGATAAAAAAAAAATGTTCTTTGTCTTTGTCCCATTGATTGATTGAGGGACAGAGACAAAGGTTAGTTGGCTGGCACCTCACCGTTAGCGTTCCGATCTACTTACTAGCAAAGCCGGCAGTCTTGACAAAATGCCTTAAAATGTCTATCTTCGATAGTTGAACCAACTCTCACTTTAACTGAATAGTCAGAGGCTCACCCAGTTCGAGATTGAATCATTTCCTGTGATTGAAAAGAAGGAAGCAGACCAAAGCCCTCGCATAGTGAAAGCAGCTCAAATCTTTTTGGTCTAATTGGTCTAAAAGTACCCAGTCAGTCGATAGGATTCCATTACCAAACAGGGGTGCGGGCGCGGATAGGAAGAACTGGATCCATTTGAATAGCTGCCGGACGTGCTTGATGTTATGTAATCCGAAGATCATCCGGGATTTTGATAAGTGTTGGGAGAAAGGAAGGTATTGGTGGGAGCCAAAAATTTGAAAGCAAAGGTTTTAAAGGCATGTGAGATATATAAATTGATAGATGGTAGTGGTTATAAGGTCATGCCCCTACTCTTGTTGTGTTTAAAGAGTAGGGACCATTGAAAATGCCCATCATACTACCATGTCACATCAATCAAAAACTCCTTAAACTTTCTTATTTTTATTATGTTTTTATTCCAATCTTAGCTTTAAGATACTTCAACTTGTATTCCAATTGAGACACACGCACACGTGTGCAAGCAAAACCGAGTGGCTATAGGTAGGGGATGATCGGTATGGTCTAATCGAATCAATTTTTTTATACTCGTAGAAGGTACTCACATTTTTTCTTATTTAAGACCTATTTGAGGAGTTTGGAGAGAATTGAAGTTTTTGAAGGGCACAAACTGACCATCAAAATAAATTTTGAGTCAAGTAAGTTGAATTTCGAGACTTTAAATTAAGACAAGTTTGTAGTATGTATGAAAGCATGTAGTAATAAAAAACATGTTGAACGGTTAAGATGCTCGTTTTTTAAGAAAATAACGAAAAAATTCTAGAATTGAACGAATTCAAATTCTGACTACATAACCATGTTTAGATTCTGTCCCTTGTGATGATATCTTCGTGCATAGATGAATATACTCTTATACAAGTACAATTAGAGAGAGGTTCCCTAACATCCCCTAATTATAACTTAGTTTGGTTATCCAAGGTTCCATTAGCGTTTTAGAAAGGACTTTAGGACTTTGTAAATTAATTTCTTTTTAGTGAATCTGCTCTAGCAAATGTTTGGGATAGTACCTTTATAAGTTGGTAGAAATAGGGTTGAGCCTTGAAAATGCATGTACTTAATGAGCGCCTAGTGCATTTAGGGGTACAAATCACTCCTTAATCGTGATCTTGTTTGGATGAGAGAAATGAACAAAGGTATACGATAGTTTACTAGATTGAGGGCCGTCATCTCCTTTATGATGTTTAAGTTATGGGGCCTGTAGCGACCTTATTTTTATATTAAAAATATAGTCGCCATGACATGCATGACATGTCTATTATGTTCAGAAAATTCATTAAAAATATTTCATAAACGATGTCATACGTTTATACGTTCATAATAAAACAACGTGATTTCAGATAACATAAAGAAAGAATAATCTAGGGACTTCAAAAGAACAAATAGGAAAGCAACTACCTTAACTTTGATCACATGGCCTCCATCGTGACATCGTCATCTGTGTAGGGGTGCTTACCTTTACCTGAAAAATAAAAAGGGCCTTAGATTCCACTTTTTGGTTTAGGCAAGGTTGTATGTGTAGTACTTCCTTATGTACGGCTCACACATGCACACATGGACTCACTATGCGGGCTCGTATACGTAAACTTGGCTCGTTGAGCTAGCACTCACTAACGAATTCGAGGAGACCACAAAGGGAAGGGGCCCGCATAACGTCATAGCAAACATAAATTTTATAAGGTATGCATCCGTACTAATCATAACGGAGAAGTATCTTGACGTATTTGACGCACAAACTGCATGAGGTCCCCATGGCTTAAAATCATGACATAAGTTTATGATACAAGTCAAATCTCCATTCAATCATAACATAATGAGTCTATGAATCATGCATACATAATTCATGTCAAATCTTTCGTCTATAACATAGCTTATATGACATGGTGTATGGAGGTTTATGCATCATATAACATAGCTTATTTGTCTACTTTCATGAATTCATTGTCCCAAGATATTAGGTCATCATCGACGAATCTTAGAGAGTCAACATGATTCTTATCGTTATTGATAACTTGAGACATACTATCTCTATAAATAAGGAAAGGGTTACATTATAATCATTGTGGTGTACAACCATGTGATAGATCATCTCCAATTTAAGAACTTGTGGCCACAATAATATGGTATTTCAAGATGGCTACAACCACTAAATAATGAAAGGAGAAAAAAAATATTGAAAAAGATGTTATAATACTTTTTAAAAGATGCATTTAAAACAAGATATTTCTGAGTGGGGGAAAAGATGTCTTAGTTATAGAGAAGAAAAAAGAAAAGAAAAGAAAGAAGTAAATTGACAAAATGTGTACATATCTAAACGTAAAAAAAAAAAAAAAAAATGATGCGGCTGACTTTTTTTTTTTTTTTT